TATTCAATGTATAATCTCTTTGAATATCTGATTAATAGATTCCATCAATTCTGAAAAAAGCTAAAGGCTGCTAATTTAATTTTCCTAAATTTTGGTACATTATTAATTTTGAGCCGATAAAAATATGCGTAAGAAATTCAAGAGATCAAAAATAAATATTTTTTAAAATCTCAAATAAACTAGCAGAATAATTTTCAATCGTTGCAAAAATTTAAGTAATTGAATTCTGAAATGACCTATAATGTAATTTTTTTTAGCTATTATGACTTATTCTAAGGTTTAAATAAACTTTTATGTATTGCCTAAATCTAGCAAAATTTTACTTAATGTGATATTTTAGCATTTCTTAAAAAATAATTTCATGAATGACGTGTTTCATTGGTGAATAAATAGTGACTAATTATAAAATTAAAATAATTAAGGAAAACGTCTGTACATTAAGTCAGAGTAATGATAAACTGAGGAATGGAATTTACTTCTTAATTTATGTAATGTTTTAGTTATTATAAAAAAAACAAAACAAAAAAACAACAACAACAGAGAAATACAAAATGGAGTGATATAATGTGCATAGGCATATGCATCTCTATTTCGTTCTCACTAAGGCTGTGATGTAAGCCTCGTGGTCTGGCCAATCTGGAACTCTGCCATCACATGACGTCAATCTATAAAATGTTTACTAACTCCACCGAATAAATTTAAGTAAACTAAATCAATTTTAGCATTTCTACCTCCTAGATTAACCAAACTGTATAGTCTGAAATGTTCAATTTCCAAGGAATAATTTATTTCGAGTTATTTTTTCCATTTGCAAATTTACACTTCGACGATTCCTAGTCCGATGGTGTTCCTCAAGGTAGTATCCTAGGTCCTATCCTCTATACAGTTTATACAGCTGACATTCCTACCTGTCCCAACACTGTCATGGCCACATATGCCGATGACACATGTATCCTATCAGTAAACAATGACCCAGCAATTGCATCCCAAATGCTTCAATCACACATCATAAATCTAGAAGAATGGTGTCAAAACTGGAGAATTAAAATAAACTCCAATAAATCCCACCAAAGGTATTACCCTTCGTCGTAAACCAACGACTTCCTGTCCTACAGTTTCCTTTAATAATACTCCACTTATCCCTGTTGAGCAAATCCGATACCTAGGACTCCACCTGGACAAACGACTAACTTGGAATCCTCATAATAGACTGAAACGACAAGAAACCGCTCGACGTTTCCGATTACTTCAGCACTTACTAGACAAACGCTCTAAACTTCCCATTAATTACAAAAGACTCATATACTTGACTATAATAAGACCTATTTGGACTTACGGAGTTGAGCTATGGGGATCCACTAAACCATCGAATTCCTCTCGCATCCAATCCTTACAATCCAAAATCCTTCGTAAAATCCTCAATGCTTCTTACTTTGTCACTAATAAAATTATCCATAAAGATCTTAATGTTCCTTATGTTTCAAATCTGGCCCAATCCAGATACCTATCCTTCCATAATAAACTTCAGAATCATCCCAACCCTCTCGTTTCTAACCTTGCTTCCTCTTCAATTCCTGATAACCCTCCGAGGCATCTGAAAAGAAGATGGCCTCGTGATCTCCTAATGTAGTCATATCATTAGAGTGCTACCATTGGGTAGTTACTCAGCAAGTGTATTCATGTCATTATATCTATTATTTCCAAATTTACTTGATGTATTTATGTAATACAGTTGTAAATATCATTAAGAAAAAAAACAACAATTCGACGAGACACTTGCCTACCGATTTGTATAGAAGAAAACCAAATTTCTCAGTCTGTACGTTATCTTGGACTAATATTCGACAAAAGTATGATCTAGAGCCCACACGTCAAAATGAAAAAACAGATTTTAAACAAGTGACTGAAAATACTGTACTCACTTTTTTTTCCAAATCAACATTGATAATCTGACAGAAAGTAAAAACGTACACTTACCTGCTCAATCCTATCTGGACATACGCCTCTCAGATGTACGGTTCAGTAAAAATGACTTACGAAAGCTACAGCCAATTGAATACAAAATTTTAAGATTCAAAACAGCAGCTCGATGATATATAAACAACAGAACTACATAACGGCTTACGAAAACAAATTATCGACCAAAACATACGTGCTCTCTACACTCGATTTCATCTGAAACTACACGGACACAACACATTTAAAATCAACATGCCCACGACCGACATGCACATTGGAAGACGATTAAAAAGGAGCTGGATGAGAAATCTTTTTTCCTGAATCAAGGAAGTAAAAAATGATCAAGAAGAGATGCTGCTGGGTGCTATCCTTCCTCATGCCTATAATGCTAAACATTAAATTGAACTCAATAAATCTGCTGAGTGTTACTATTATGATTAATACTTAAAGATAAAAAAAAAATGTAAATTATAAAATGTAACTTAAGCACAGTCACTAGTAATGGCTAAAGGTTCATATTCATGATTTATGTGTACAGATTTTTTATTTTTTTATTTATTTATATGATATTTACAACTGTATACAAAAAAAACATCTGGTAAATTCGCACATGGATATAATGACATGGAACACATGTTGAGAAACTACCCATTGGTAGCACTCTAATAATATGTCTATATTAGAAGATCACGTGGCCATCTTCTTTTCAGACGCCTCGGAGGGTTATCAGGAATCGAATAGGAAGCAAGGTTAGAGACAAGAAGTGTACAGAATTATATAGTTTATCTTAAGTACATTTAGGAGTATTTAAAAAAAAAATTCAACTTAGAACATTTGAATGAAAATCCTCTTCCCTACTCGCTTTCTCCCAGACGTGCGACTACTATTGGGGACAGGTGAAGACAGTAAGGTTGCATTTGGCTTTGCCTAAGGTCATGGGAGCACGTCCATGAAATACTTCCATTTAATTTTCTTTTTGAGTTATTTGAATGGGTGGAATTGGATCGTGATTGAGTAAGAGGATTTCGATAGTTCGAAAGTTTCTAATTAAATAGAATTAAGAGTGTATGAGATCGAAAACGAAAGGCGTATTCATGAAGCTATTACTTCTATTTAAAATTATAGGTTAATGAAAAGTTACTTAGATATTACTGTAAAGAATTATTTTAACACACAAAATTGTGCTAGTATTTATAAATAGTTAGAACTGTAGAATTAAAAAAAATATGTAATATTTCAGAAAGAATTTAATTAAAAGCCTAAAATTGTAGCTGACTAAAAAAAAAAAAAAAAAAAAAAAAAAAGGCGTTTACTAATATTTTCATGATAAAAAAGCAATCACCATTTCGTAAGAATAATAATAATAAAGGAATAAATTATTAAAACACGATAGGCGTCCTCTCAGAATGATAAATAAACGTGAATACATCGGCATCCAGTCACTAATATTTACAAAAAATCAATTATGTTACACATAATATTTATTTTCGTTTACATCAAGGACGAGGATATCGCTTTATTTCAACATTTCCTTCTCGGATATTCATTTTATTTAAAATAACAGTTGAAGTGATTTATGAATAAATTGTAAATATATGGATATATAATAAGGCAATGTCTACTTGCCATTGAGGTAAACATATATTTCATAGAGGATGGAAATACTGTAACGATTATATGTCTATTGTATGTTGTAAACACCGAGGATAATAAATTTTTACCTCGGGAGACGGTAAGGAGAGACTTGGCTTGCTGCCACGGGCTCGGGACATTGGAGTCTTTTCAGGTCTCAATTGATATACAATTTTCTTTTTAAATAAAATACAATAGATTTATGATACATATAAGGCCCACACGTCAGAATAAAAATAAAGGCCTTAAAAAACCAATTACTGTATTAATATACTGATTTTTTCCAAATCAACAAAACTGAAAGAAAATTAAACGAAACTAATTACGTACATATACTTAAATAAACTCAAATGTACATTCGTCTTACAGATTCACGGTTCACTAAAAAAGACACGCTTACACAAACTACAATATTTTCAATAAAAAATTGTAAGACACTGGTACGTACTAATACTAATACTAATATCTAGTACGTAAACAACAAGTATCTGCATACTAACTTACAGCAACCAGCTATCGACCGACATATTTGTATTCTTTATTTCCACTTCCAATAAAACTTCATCGAAATAACAACAGACTGATATACGGGATGACAAGTTTGTCAAAAAGCGACTAAAAAAGAGCCGAATGAAAGACATCCTGAAATATTGTCACTTTCTTCAGGGACAGGTGTAAATAGAAAACGAAAAACCATGTTTACATATAAGAAAAAAATATAATCCATACCCACTTTTCTAAAAATCACTAACTAATGTTATGTTTAGTAAATAGATAAGTTTTATTTTAATTTTTTCCGAGGATGAATATTTCGTATTAGAATAATTGATTTTCGTTTTATAACTAGACACAAAATATTAATTAAATTAGACATGAACGTTGAGAATTTACACTTTTTAAGCCCGGAACTATTTTTATTTTTTTTTATTTGTGTCCGCATGTTTATCTATATGTATGAAATAAAAATAAAAAATCTATGGAAATAAATGCAGTTTGATAACTTTTTTTTAGTACTTTTCATAATTTGCATATATTAAATAAAAAGCAAATTACCACAGCCCATGTAGGACTGACAAAGTGCTTCTGACTCTCTAATGCATGTGCAACTTCTGTTTTAATTTTTAATAAATTATTGAAAGTTCTTTATAATTGTGGATAAAAAAATATATAAATGTTTAGTGGAACCAGCCAGTCAGGAGTTATATTTATACATATAAAAGAAACATACATTAATTTAAGCATACAAGTGAAATAGAGGTGTTAGAACTCCCAGTTTTTTCTTTTCGATCAATAAGTCTTTAGTGAAAAACATTATCTCTTTTATTTTCCTCTTTTTTTTCCCAATACGTATATTCTATTTAACATGTTAATTACATCAATTTTAAAAATAAAATGTTTGTCATTTGCAGATCAACTTAGCGGAGGAATTCGATATTCTTCAAATAGTTGGTGAGGGATGGTTCGGGAAAGTCCTTCTGGTCGAGCACCGGGTGACAGACACAGAAATGGTCCTCAAAGCTCTGCCAAAGCCTTATGTATCGATAAAAGACTTTTATAGGTAACATTAATCTATTATATTATTCACAATAATTTAATTTCGTCAGAAATATTATATTTAAGTACAATGGCTTAGGGAATTCCACTATGGTCTTCAGCTTTCCGCCCACAAAAACCTCATCACCACTTACGATGTCGCCTTCGAGACAGCGGGCTTCTACGTCTTCTCCCAAGAGTACGCCCCTCTGGGAGACTTGATGTCCAACATTTCAGAAACTGGAATCGGTGAACTGCACAGCAAGAAAGTCGCCAAGCAGGTAATTTAAACGGGAGGCATTATCTTCTTGATTATTTTTAAACTCAACATAAAATTTAAGACGTACTTTTGTCTAGCTGGCGGCTGCACTAGAATACATACACGCCCACGGATTGGTCCATAGGGATGTGAAGCTGGATAACATCTTGGTATTCCGATCAGACTTCTCCAGGATCAAACTGTGTGACTTCGGAGAGACGCGAAAAGTTGGTACCCTAGTCACAAGAAGAAATGAATGGCTGCACTATGCTCCACCAGAAGTCCTTGCTCTTGCCAATGACCAACTCTATGAGTAAGTTTTTCTATTTTTTATTGATTTATTTTCGCTTTCAATAAAGAAAATATCACAGCTTCCTATTCCTTGCCGACTTCAGGTAAATCAACATTTTACCTGTTAAAAAACTGTTCTTGGTTCCTATTTTATAACAATAGAATAATAATAGTGTTCTATTATTAACTAATAAATTAAAGGCAAATAAGTGATAAGTAAAAGAAGGAAATTTAGAAGGGCTCCTTGATAAAAATAAAAAATAATACTCAGTTGCTCAAGTATTGAAATAAGACTACTACGTCTTTTGGTTTTTGAGCTAAACTGTTCACATACACACATACAAACCATTTTTTGCGACTTGGTTATTTGGACTCAGGGTACCTCAAAACGTGTATTTTCGTTGAAAACTCAGATTCAAAAATTTTCACTCGCAATACTTACCATTACTATATATTACAGATATAGGTAAGTGAAAGTAAAAATAAATACATGACTGTTTGACTAAATAAATTTCACAATACAATTCTTCATATATATGTACTGAAAACTTGAACCTAATTACATTAAATTTACTTAACCTTCTTCCAAATCTGTTATGAAGGAATTGTTATCACAGATCAGATACCATTACTTGTGAAAAGTGGTGTGTTATATCAATATGTTATTTAGATCCATTAAGATAAAATTTTTAAATTAGTATTGAGGGCAAAATTGAAAAATAAGTATAAGAAATGTCATTTGAGATGATGATTTCAGTAATTTTTTAAGACGAGTGAGGACTAGATTAGCTGCTGGTTGGCTCTTGTCCAACCTCCGACATGATGTTTGTCAGTATTGGGGTCGGGGGCCAATGGCGAGACACTCCCCACTTTTTTGTCAAATGATCCTTTTATAGTATTTTTTTTTACTTTTGCTTTTTATTAATGTTATAGATAAATTTGACTCATATTTATTTTAAATGATTGTACTCTGAATTGAAATTTAAAGAATCATGTATTTATCATTATGAACACCCTCATTAGATCAAAATTAATTCATTAAATTTTTCTAACTCAAATTCAAAGAAGAAAAAAAAACAAAATAAAAACAAGAAAAAAAAAATTAAAATGTCTGACCGTAGAGTCAACAAGTTGTTTATATAACATTTACATTACATCTGGACCATTTCTTGGTTTAAAAAAAAAAATTAAATTAAAAAAAATATCCACGTCCAGTACTCAGACTTAATTATCATTTAATGCTATTTAATAATATTAATCAGTACTATAATTTAATTACACTTAATAAATAATTTAGCTAAAATAAGTCCTACAGTATCTTTTGAACCAAATGACACATCCAATTTTTTTTTTTTTTATTCAAAACAATATAAAATAAGTACATTTGCTGGTAACTATGGTAATTATAAAACCACTGTTTTCTTTATAGGTGCAACACTTCTCATGACGTTTGGCAGTTTGGCATAGCCATTTTCATCTGTTTGACAGGATGTCTACCATGGCAGAAAGCAGCTCCTGATGATCCCAGGTTTGGCAGGTATCTTCTATGGCAGCAAGGTTCTAACGTTTTACTTCCAGTAAGGAGGCCCAAACTATTTAAGGTAACTTCAATTAAAATTGTATTTATTTTGATTAACTGTTCTAATGATTTGCATAGATAAGATGTTATAGAAGATTGATATATATGTACTACATACATAGTACATGCACAAATAATAACCATATTATATTATTCTAATAATCATATTTTAATTGAATATAGTAATGTTACATTTAAAACCCTACATTCATGAACTAGATAATCATTCTCTGTACCATAGAGAGTAGGTTCAATAACTTAAGGAAACTTTGCCAAATGAAATAAATTTCAATGTTTATTTCATGACTCTCTCATGAAAAAACCTCGAAATTTATTTCATGACTTCATAGTGTTAAAAACCATAGATAGATAGAAAAAAAATCGAATTCAATAGTTATTCCCCAATGTATAGAATCAGTTAAAAAAAAGTAATTTGTATAAGAAAAGGTTTGAAAATATTATTTTTAATGTTTTAGCTGATTTCTAACAAAGCACAGCGGTGGTTTAGGAAATATTTAGAACCTCGAGGTGAAAAAAGGCCAACTTCGCTGAGTGACATGCCACGCTACTTTGAAGATAGATGGTTGGCCAGATCTGAAAGACCAGGTAGTTTTTTTTTCTAATCACTTTCTAAAATTAAATATTTTATTTGTTAAAATTAAGAAACTTTAAGAGACTGTCAACTTTTTATGACGAGAATATAATTTTAATATTATACATCTATGTTTTTTAATCTTTATTGTTGGTATTATCCAAAACATCATCTATACACTTCAACTTTAAAATAGGGCTTAATGCTTACAATGCTAAATATTTTCAATATCTTTGAACTTTACATATTCAGATATTGATTTCCATGACAAAAAAAAACATCAGTATTTACTCAGTTGCTCTGTGGGTTCTTGTTCTAAAGAAATTACAGATCTTGAAAAATCATTATTTCTGTGATCTAGTTTAAATTTTTATCTATCATTCATGATTATGAGATTCTGGATTTTTCAAATGTTTTCTAGATTTCTTATTGAGATAAACTGTATTCCATTATTAAATTTTACTTTTAGTTTATTTAAAATCATTTTAGAAAAAAATGACAAATGATTGAATCCATACTAACAAAGTAATGTAACAGTATTGTTTAATTTTCATTCTAAATTCTAAAATTTATTATTGATTGCAGAAGAGGAGAGGGAGGATGAAACTCTCTGCCCATCAATGTACAGCTACCATAGTAGTCCAGAAGAAAAGAACAGGCTATTGTACACCTTAACTCAATATGGAATCGAGACAACAGTGGATCGCACAGCAAAGAAAGACAGGATAAGAGAATGGATACAAAGCAGCGTCATCGAAGAAGAGGATGAAGAAAAGATGGACGAAGGCACTTCTTCGACAGCTGGGAGCCAAGGCTTGAGTGCATGAAATTACTAAATGTAGTTGCTTCATCCCCATTCCAGGTTTAAAGCTAAGCACTACAGCTAATTAAAGCTAATTAGGGGCTAAGCACTCTGGAGTTGAGTGCTTTGAGTTTTCCTATTTAACCTTAGGAATGTGAAGTATATATCCGTCTATTCGTGAAGTGGCACTTTGCCATTTTTGTTCCCTATTGTCACTAGGTACTATTTATATGGCCTGTGATAGGAAGTGAAGGTTATTTACATCAGGTAAATAAATGTAAAAACCTTCCTTAATGGCGTTTATGAGGAGTAAATGCCCGATCAGTATTTTAAACTGCTGTTTTTTTTATTGAAAATGTGATGTTTTCAAAGCAGGTATGATTGATTACATGATTGTATCTATGTTTTTATAAAGAAACTTGCTGAGATGTTTTCTTGTGAAAAAATCTAATCATAATGAGAAGATGTAAACTAGTGAATATTGTATCTTTTTAATTTTTTAGTAATAAATTTTGTTATAATTTGTGTAAATATTCCATTTCCTTAGCCAAAAATAATAAGTCTTTCCTTTATATTTTTCTTCCAGGATAACAAGTACTCACTTTGATATGGCAAAATTATTTTTATTGATTAAATAAAATGTTTTAGATAGTTAAATAGATTTATTAATTAAAAAAAAACAAAATTATAACAATCCGTGCCTAAACAGTCATATGTATCTTTCATAATTGCACATAAAGGAATCTTATATTTTTATATTAATAGCTAATACAGTCATTATGATCAAATATGTAAGTTAAACCACTAGTTTAGAGTATTCATCTATAAATTAATTCCTAACTTTCATGATATCCTAAAAATTTATAGCAATAGAAAGAGTTCACTTGAAGTACACATATTATTAATTTTTCACTAATTCTAAGTCAGTATAAAATATTCCTTCATAGAAACAAATCTCCAGATTGCCAAAACTAAATAATTTAAACTTCATAAAGTATTTAAAAATATCCGATCGAAAATATCATAGAAAATGAAATAAATTATATCCAATTAAACACTTATACTTTATACAATTCTGGAAATCTCATTTTTAATTAAATATTAGAACCAAATTAAAAAAAGTTTTGAAAATAGTAGGTTTTGATTCTTTCAATGGTTGTGATGCGATAAAATCTCAAGTTATCATGAATTTAAATATCTGAATCTTGGCATGTTTCTTGTTCTTGTAAATATAAATTTTAAGATTATAAGAATGTATTTTTTTTTTTTGTTTACAGATAAGAAAAAATAATTAAAATATTGAATATTAATTAATTTTTTAAACTTTTTATTTGTATGAAGGTTAGGAAAAAAAAAATCAGATTTATTGAAAAACTTGTTGTTAAGAAGGAATAAACTTTAAAAAAAAGGATATTAGTTCATTAAAAGATAAAATGGATTTATCATTCGTCTTAAAGCAGCAATGCACCATATTCAGTTCTGAATAATAATATTCATAATCAAGTAGAAGAAATGGCTACGTTGTAGATTTCCAACTTCCATACAATGCTTAAAAGAAGGAGCACTTGGAAATATGGTTTGCTGAATTTCAGAAGAAAAAACTATCACTAAATGCCATGGTACACAAAGTTACCTTCAAACAAAAAGCCAGTTCTGAACAATTAATCATTAATAATTAATAAACTGTTAACTTTATGATAAATAAAGTATGTTAAAAGGAATGGAAGTTTCATGTTATTATCATGAACCAACATTTATTTAAATATATGATATATCATACCAAATTTAAAACAAATACTACTACAACTACAAAATTTTGGGTATATCTTTATTTTTGGTTGCATTTTTATGATGATCCAAGTATTTTTAAACTTGAGTCTGTTGAGATTATTTAATAATATTTGGTGATTGCTGCACAGTACTTATTTTAATAGTAATATCTGCAAGAAGATAATTGCATATTAAGATAAATATCCTATTATATTATTATTTTTTGACTTTTGAGTTCAGGAATGATGTTTGTATTTTAATATAGATAATAATCCAAAAAAAATATCAAACCTCTAGAATAATTTATACTCATTACCAAGCTAGTATTTGTCTTCTCTTTTTTTTTTTTCCATAATGCTGATATAAAAATGAATCCTCATGAATATATTAATTTTTAAATACTTTGTTTGAAAACTACCTAAGAAGATATATATTTTTATTCCCAATAATCATGCTAAGCCATATATAAATAAACTAAATAATAGTGGTAATAGCAAGTGAATAAAAGCCACACTGGGATTTTTCAGAAAATATACTAAAGATCAGTGGCAACCCGGAGGGGTGCTCGTTAAGGGTGCCGACAGATCTTCAGAGGTGCCTGCTACTAGTTAGAAATTAAAAAAAAATACAAAATCTATTAAAATAATAAATTTTAGTCTATCAATGGAGCAAATTTATTAGAGAAGTGTTGAATGAAATAAAATTTAAATATTCCATAACATAAAACAGCCTAAGGAATAAATTTAATTATTTTAGGAGGGGGGGGATGAAATCATTGGCCGAGGTGCCGAATACCTTACGCTGGCACTATTAAAGATTATTACTTATATTGCATGAAATACTTTAAAACTGGTGGTAAATCTGTCTTATTCTATTTTTGAAAAATTTTGTAATAAATATTTCAAATCGTGAATAGTAATAAAATTTGTTAATAGATAAAACATTGGATAGCTAACATATCATTAATATATATACCTTAGATGAAAAATTGTATTCCTTTATTATATTTTATTCCCTTATTCCTTAGTGTGTTTATAAGTCTTCCATAAGTTTGTCCGAGTGAGTTTATAATGAGTGTCCTTGTTTATTATTATGTTATGTTTCATTGAATATTGTGAAATTTAATGTATTATAATATGGAGTTTGATATATTTGATTAAAAAATATTTAAGAACATTTGTTTTATTCTTACTCCTAGAAATTTAATGATTTTTGTTTTATCATAATTATTTGAAGAATTTAGCCTATCACCTTGAAGATCTTATATAGGAGATTGAGATTCATTTCACTTTATCTTCCTGTCATTGTTTTTAGAAATGAAAATAACAGTTAAAAGAAAGGTTTCTTATATGGTTAAAATCAGTAATAAAGCAAACCAAAATGTGCAGTTATAAACCTACCTCATTGTTGACTATATAAGCATCATCCTGATTAGAGCCAGTTATTTTACACTAAACAATCGTCTTCATTCTGTTTCATATATATATATAAATATTCTCTCTCTGACTCTTCACATATACACAGTCCATTTTTCGGGACTTGGTTATTTGGACTCAGGGTACCTCAAAACGTGTATTTCCGTTGAAAACTCAGATTCAAAAAATTTCACTCGCAATACTTACCATTACTATATATTACAAATATAGGTAAGTGAAAATAAAAATATATTGGAAAATATGGTGAATACAAATATTGAAATAACATCAACACAGACACAAACTGTTTAGGGAAAATTAACAAATGTATACAAGTGTATTGTAGGATCTACAAATGTTTACTTATTTATCTCAATTCATGTTTATACAGCTATTATAACATTTAATGTTATATAAAAAAATAAACTGAGGTCTATTAAATAAGTTATTTTGTTGCTAAAACCGCTCTCTGTGGCGGTAAAGATAAACTTAAATGTCAATAAGTTCTTAAAATTGGTACTAAAGTACAGCAGTAAATGTATTCCTGGGCTACTGCAGAGTGATCTAATACCAAAATAAGGATTTCACCTTTTTAGGACTGCAGTTGGTCAGTCAATAGCTTTTTTCTCTCAATAAAAGTTAATTAACTATATATTTTAGATTATAATTGAAATAATTTCAACCAAACAGCCTTATATCTCCAAAATGTTGGAAAAGAATAAAATAAGAATTAACGTTTCGCCAATTCAGGCATCATCAGGATAGAAGAAAAAACAAATCAAAGATCACATCACTCCTTGACACCGTGGCAGTGGTATGTGATCTTCAATTGATTGATGCCTGAATTGGCGAAACATTGACGATTTTTTTATTCTTTGTCTGCATTTTAGAAACATAAGGCTATGCGGTTGGAATTTTTCTGAACCATAACCTAACATTGAATTTTTGTCTCTTAATGAATTTTTTTTTTTACTGATTTATACTGATTATGCATGTTGAATAGACATTTTTGGTACTATTATATTGTTTATAGAAATAAACGTTTTCCTAATATCACTTATACTTCTAATATATTAAGGGAAAGAAAGATAGGTGTCTAATATGAGAACTCTCACTTTTGGATTAAAAATATTAAATTGGATTTTTTGGATCATAAAAAAAAAAATGAGCAAATATAAAAATATATCTTTCCTCTTTGGATGAGTGAAAATGGAGCAAAGAAAAATTCTTAAATTCTCTTAAAAATAAAGTAAATAACAACATATATAAAACAAAACAAAATGTATTTTTCTATTTTTAAACAGTATTTATTTATTTCCACTTATCATTAATAAAAATTCAGCCTTGTTTTTTATATATTTTTTAAAATGTAAAATTTTAATATTGAATTAATTAAATATATATAGTTACTAAAATAAACAAAACAAAAGTTTTTTTCTATTTTAAAATAAAGTTCCAGTGATTAAAAGCACCGTAGAATAATAAATTATTTTTTAGCAATCTCACAAGTCACTTTCTCCTTAGAAGTCGTAAAAGAACAAGTCAACTGATTTCAATATTGGAACCACCCATATTTATTAAAAATTAAATTAATAATTCATATAAACACACTTATGTCTTAGGTTAGGCTATTATTTAAAATTTTGATGTATAAAAACTAAATACTGTTCTCAAACACTATATTAAAAATAAAATATTAGGCTATTTATGAGAGAGATTTAATAATTTATTGATTTACAATATAAAACATAAATTATTTCTAGATTATATTTTAAAAATATATTTACATAGTTTTATTTACAACATTATTACTAGCCAGTCAATAATAATTTAAACTCTCCTTATTTAATAGAAAAACTAAATTCGATGAAGTGAATATAGTATTTACAACATACTTTCAAAGTAAAAACTTGAGTTTAATGTAATTGAATTTCACAATAAATATAAAAAGAAAAAAAAAAAAGAGCATAAAATTAAGCATTGTTATGCAAAGTATTTAAATTATAAATAACTATCTTGTCATTGAAAAACTTAGTTAAAGTTCTTCAAATATAACATTAATTGTAATAATTTAAAATTACAGTATATATACAAATAGGTATTTCAGATTTGGTAAAACAAATGAACTTTGGCAAAAGTAAATAACAAATGTTTACCAAATCTTTTGATGCACACCACATTTGAAACTGAAACTGAAATGGAAACATTACATAGTATGTTCTTAAACATTTCCTGAAAGTTCAAAAGTTAACATTAATAATTCCATGAATCTGGAAATAAGAGAAAACGAGATACAACACCCATAAAACAAGTAGGATTGCCACGGTGATGTACTTCCCTGCAGGAGGTCCTCCAATTTCAGCTTTGCCAAATACTGCAAGGTTTCTTCTAGCAAGCAGGAGTATGGTTGCTATAATTGCACATATAGAATAAAGGAGAACGCTGAAACCTAATCCTGTTGATGGCACTATGAATGAAGTACCCTAAAAAAACATAAAAAATAATATTATGACTTTTGGTTTCAAAATATAATTTAAGAATTGTGTTTTCATTACATTAATCAATGCCAAGCCAGAGACACTTGATTTTGTATTAATGAAACATTACCAGAGTGTACACTAAGATTCTATGATTTTATTTTTTAAAGAACTTTGTAAACAAAAACAATTATTTAATCTTTCCACGTCCATATTTATTATTTTCTATTCATGTCTTGATTCATATTTTTATTTAAATAAAACTTAAATACATGTATTTAAAGAAAATATTAAGAAATTTTTGTAAAATTATAAAATGACTAAATTCAGTATTTTTGCATTATTATATTTAAATAGTTGTAAGAGTGAAAGTAGAATACACAGTTTTACTGTGAGTTACACAGATTTTCTTTAAAACTTGTATGAGGTATTATTATAAAATGAATCCTTTTCAGGTACCTCCCATCATTGGGAGTGTTAATAAATGAGCAAAATGGTGCTAAAAAATTTCTATTATTCTGAGAAGTAAGATTATCATTCGGAAAACTATAAATTGTATTGCATATAAAAGTGCGCAAAAGTTAGGAATTGAGGACACATATATATTTCAGCAGGACAACAATCCCAAGCACGCGACGAATAAAACCAAAAAATGGCTGCTATATATTGTTCACAAAATGCTCAAAACATCTCCACAATCAACGGATCTTAATCCAATTGAAAATTTATGGGCGCTGCTGGAATTGGAAACCCGAAAACATTTTTGTTCCTCTTGGAATGACTTAAATAAACTGATGTCTTGAAAAATCTTGGGAAGAAATTGCACCAGAGGAGACCAAGAGACTCATGGGATCGATGCCAAGAAGACTCAATGCTGTGATAACTACAAAATATTAAAATTTGAGATTGATATATATTATATTTTCTTTGGGTTACTTAAATGTACAAATATTTTTTTTTGCACTTCATATATGAAAATTTTGATATTTTTTATACAATATGAGTTATAAAATTTTACTTTTTGTACAATTAATGCAAAATGAAATTTATAATATTTATTTATATTTGCTTCATGTTGAAAACATAAATAAAAAGATTTTTGACTACAACGTATGGTGTACGAATAATTTTTTTGGCCACTGTATGTTATGATGGCAGTTCAAAGAAAATAAATTACTATATGTGTCAAGGCTTGGTATTGAAATAAATTTCACAAGGTTAATTTTTATGAATATGGTTTCTCAAATAACAAAAGATGATTTAATCCAATTTATAGACAACATTAAAAAGTTAAGAATTAATTAGGATTTGTCTTACCTTTATATGATGGTAAAGGGCAGCAACGAACCAAGGTAGGCCGACACCCATTAGAACGTTCACTGCAGTACTACCAGTGATGTGAATAAGCGCTCCATCTGCATAACGCTCCATCCTTGTCACAGTTCTAGCACCAAGTGTGTCTGGCAGTGACGTTCCCAGGGCAACAAAGGTTAAAGCTAAAAGTAATATAGAAAAATATGTTTGAAACTAACCTTCCAGCCATGATATAAACTTGCGAGGGTCCAAGGAAATCCGACACCAAGAAAAACATTAATTGCATTGCTTCCATTAATATTTCCAATAGCTTCATCAGCAAACTTCCCTCCCGAAATAGCAGTGCAACTGGCTAATGTATCAGGCAAAGAAGCTCCCAAAGCAACAACGGTCATAGCTGTAAATTACATTGGCTGACTATTCTAAAAGTTAGTTATTAGTAACATACAACAATACATATTTAGCTTGGGTTAATTATAGGTTATTCATTAATCACATATTCATTCATAGGTTAATTATGACTTCTAAAGAGATTGTTATTTCCACAAAAGTGCTTTGAGAAATAATATTAATTTGAATTTAGCTACACGCATTTAATAGTAAAATTAACTGGTTTTACAGGGTTATAGATAAAATGCTAACCACCCACAAAATACTTTAAAATATTTTATTTCGGTTATATTGTTCTGTGTTAATTAATATTTAAATCATCTATATTTATAACTCAATAAACTACTAATCTAATATAATTTACTATTCCCAACTATTAGGATTGAAAAATGAATTATTTCTTTAATAATAGGATTATTAAATTATTATTTCTTTCTTTGAATTATTTTATCTAATAGGATAAATACAAAGTGTTTAAATACAAATTCTTTCACAAAAAAGAATTTATCTATAGCCACTTCAATGAAAAAAAATTAGACAGATACAAAATAAAAATTATTTTAATCAATTTAAAAAAATAAAATAACTGCCATTAATTAATTATAATCTTAAAACAATTTATATTAAAATTGTTTTATAAAATACTAAGCAATTTTATTTTAACTTGATATTATGATTTATTTGTACAAAATTACATGTTGCAACACAGTTGCAAATAATCTTGGTGAGTTTTTTACTGATTTATATTAAAAACTGAGATATAAGCTAATGTAACAATAATCTGGTACAGATTAGAAATTATAAGCAAATATTTTTAAATAAAAAAGAAAATCATGCAATTTTAAGAATTAGTAAACAAGGAGTTCAGCGCTAAAGGGCAGTTCTTAAATAATACCTTTGACATTATCAAGGTTAAAGTTGATTAACATCATGTTATTTTAGTGGGTAACATTCTTTTTATGTTTGTAGTATAAAGAGAAACTAAAAATATAGGTCATAATTTGGTAATTTGAAAACAAAAATGAGATCGTTTCTGCAAAGAAATTTGTTGAGAGGTTGTCGGGGCCAAAGCCAACTTATTTTTCTTATATTTTTATAAAATAAAAATAGCAGGGCTGTAGATTACTCTAGCTTTGAAAATTTACAACATTATTAAGTATTAATTTACAACAAAGACTTTATTAAATTTAAAGATTGATCCATTTCAGATCCGAACTGCTCATATTAATATCCTAAATATTCAGACTAACCATCCATACCACTTCCGGAACCTCTGAACATGTAATTAGTAATATAGAGAACATATAAAACTAATTGCACACAATTTCAATGTATATGTCTTTCTGTATCTTAGTTCCTGTTTAAAAACTAAAATAAAATAAAAGCTTAACTAAGAAAATAAATATTTAGTGTTCAAAGAAATACACATGCATAATGCATAAAATATACATGCACAATGCATAAAATATGCATGCAAATTTGCATAAAATATACATGCGGGCATTATCTGATAACTCAAACCATTTTACATTTCATTAAACCAAAACTTAATAAAACAAATACAAAAATTAAGGCATTTAAAAAAAATGGAAAAGCACCTGAGGTGGACAACATACCAGTGGAACTTCTGAAAGTAGATCCAGTAGCCATTGTCCAATCCTTCCACTCCCTTATTACAGAAATATGGCATAACGAATACATTCCAGAAGACTGGAATAAGGGATTACTTGTTTAACTTCCTAAGAAAGGCAACCTTGCGGGATGTTCAAGCTGGAGAGGAATAATGTTGACATCGGTTCCCAGCAAGATATTGTTCCGCATTATTCTCGACAGGATTAGGGAGGCTGTTAATAGTAAATTAAGAAAGGAACAGAGTGGATTCAGACCAAGAGGATCATGCATTGATCAAGTTAACACCCTCAGGATTATGGTTGAATAATTTTCGGAGTTCTAGGTGGCTCTACATCTTATTTTTATAGATGTGAAAGCTTTCGAAAAAGCTTTTGACAGTGTGCCATGAAAGAAAATATGGCAAGCCAAGGAAGAATTTGGAATACAGAGGAAAATCATAAATATTTCTAAAAAACTAAATGAGGATTTCTCCTGCCAAGTTATTCATTATCAAAGTGAAGGCTGATAAATGACAGTTCCACAGGGCTTGGACAAGAAGTTAAGGAAAACGATTTTGATGTCCAGAAATCCTCAGTTACAAAAAAAAAAACTGTATATATGTGTCTATTTCAAAGTATTCTTCAGGAACGATTGTTTATCATTTGTATATATATTACAATGTTAAAAATAATTCATAAATACATATATTATAAACCTTAAGCAAATAAATATGTTTAAATTTATTGTGCATGGTATTTACATGCAATTTTAATATAATTATAATTCATTTATTATAAATTAACTTATTGTTATAAATATATAATTACTTTTGTTGGAATTTTAAAGATTTATTTCTTTGTAAGTTTAGCGGACAAGATCTTCTGATTACATTAATTTGTTCTTTCAATTATTAAGTTTTATTTCAATTACCAAAACTTTCTATTAGAACGCTTAATTATTAAATATAATGAATTGTCGAGTTTTAATAGGAAGTTTTTATAACGGGGATACAACACCCAAACCTCAACAAATGTAAAAATAAATAAATGTAATTGGAAGATTTTGTTTGCTGAATCTTGAAAAAAAAAAATTAATTTTTAAAGTTTTTAACTTTTAGAGGATAATCTTATCAGTATGTAAACAAATAGAGGTGAATACTCTTAAGATCACACTTAATAAAATTAGAATTTATTTGGCACGAATTTTAAAATATAAATTTTAGTTAATAAATAATCAATATTATATAATTTTACCAGTCATTGTGTCTTCCAAACCAACCAAGCATCCAAAAATAGTGGCAAGATCTGCAATGATAGCTGTCATAAATCCAATGCCAACCAGAGAAATAAAGAAGCACAACCAACCACCAAAAATTGTAGGTGGGGGAATAAAAGAAAACAGCACCTACAAAAAAAGACATATCATTTATATCGAAATATGAATAATAATATAATAAGAAAAACCATAATTATGTAATATCAGAAGTGATTTATCAGCTTAAGCCCATATAGTTGGTTTTGTTTATTGTAAAATAAATGTGCCCATGATACAATATTACCTTATGGTACAGCTTATGTATAAAACCTATAGAAAACTTATAGAAAATAGAAAAAAGACTTATAGAAAAACAGAAAAAAAGGTAGATCTATAACTTTTTTAAATAATAGATTAATGGTAATGTATAGTAATAATGTAAAATATTTACTTATTTATTTAAAATATTTTTAAGTAATCCATATTATAATAAAACATAATATTTTTTTAAATAGAAGAATTCAGAAAAGTGCATAACCACTGAAGTAAATGCTGCAATTTTATAAAAAAAAAAAAAAAAAAAAAAAAGGAGTGTAAAATAATGAAAATTAATTTAGATATGAAATTTTGCCATATTTTAGTAATTACAATTGACAATTTTACATAAATTTAAATACCTAATTAAAGGATTAAATATCCATTATTTTTTATTGGAAAATATAAGAACTGATAAATTAAATTGATGGATTTATTTTCAAACCCAATATATTGATATTCTAAGGAAGAAATAAATTAAATTCTATTTTATTATTTTGTTTAAATTTGTTTATTACTCCAGGAAAGTAACAAAATATTTGGTGTACCGCATTCTCTCCCTTTATAACAAATATAATTGTCTTATTAGATAATTACTAAACAAGTATAGCAGATATTTTACCTTCCAAAAGAAAGAAAAGAAATGAAGAATGTAATCAGAACAAGCTGCATTCGCTATGTCACCACCTTTTACAAGCATAGCTTCTCTAATTTGCTGTGTCCAAGTCTCACTATGTACTCGAATAGCGTCTATGTTTACATTAGTCTTAGCCATTAGTCTATCCATCATGTTGTAAAAGTCTGTGATATTTAATGATTAATTAATACATAAGAATTAATTTATAAATGTTTAATATAAATATATAACAGTATTTAATTAATATAATGGCTTACCATCATCATTGGTGATTGTAACAGCTATTCTATTAATTCTTCCTACTCTTGCACCACCCGTTGCATCAAAAAGTTCTATTTCAAAGTGCTCATCTTTTTCAGGGTTCAAATCATTTGTGATAGGAATTTCAATGGATCTGAATGTCTAAAATTAAAAAAAAATTATAAACTTGTATTAAATTATTTTCTTAAAGATGCAGAGAAGTTTTATGGGATCAAATATATTTACTAGATGGTTAGAGCCATTAATTAATAACTTACTTCACCATGTTTCATAAATAACTCTCCAACTCCTCCTTCAAAATCTTTTCCTGATATAGCAGATTTATCGATAGTTTTCCATTTTACTGAAATGTCTCCATCAGATCCTTTCACTCGAGTGACTCCAACGCTGACTTTACCTGCGCTTTCTTTGACAACTGTACCTCTCTTTTCGAACATCACTATTCCAGGATCTGAAATAAATGCCATGTTTATTATAAATATTTGTAGTAGTTATTATTTACAAAATAATAGAGGAGAAACCCTAGAAACTGTAGAAGAGTTCACATACCTAAGAGTAGTTATCAAAATGGTAGAATAGATCAAGAAATATCCAGCAGGATCCAAAAGGCAAACAACATATACTACCAAATATACAGCACTGTTGTTGGAAAACGGGAAGTCGAGAAAAAGGTGAAACTACACATTTTTAACACTATCTACCTCTCCACACTCCTATATGGAAGTGAGAGCTGGGTTTCTCTTGATAAGCATTTCATCAGAGTCACTACAGCGGAGATGAAGTATCTTAGAAAAGTAGCCGGACCAACTCGGAGAGATCTTATTAGAAATGAGAGAATAAGAGCTATGAGTGAAACCCTTAGTTCAGACCATAGAGAAGAAGCAACTGAAGTGGTTTGGTCATGTATGCCGAATGAACGAAGATCGCGAACCATGTAAGTTCCTGGAAGTAAAACCAACTGGTAAAATAACAAGAGGCAGACCAAGGATGTCATGGATGGATCGTATGGCCCGGTTGGGAGAGAGAAGAGGTAAAAAATTGGATTCCATGAAGACGCTGGCAGTAGACCAGGACAGTTGGCATGCTAGGGTCGAGGCAACTACACGGTGGGAGGCACAAAGGAGGAAGGAAAGAAGAAGAAGATTATTTACAAAGTTTTAAAGATATGTTATTAACGAATATTGTTTGTTATGTATAAATACACATTACATCTAAAGAGTTGGTTTCTTCTATATTAAAAAAAAATTAGAGAATGATGGTTTAATTTTAATAAACATGTAATTCAAAACCTTGCTCAACTTTTTTTTGTATAAATATGTAAAGTCTGATATAAACATTTTATTTCCATATTGGCTTGTAGCCCCTTAGTTCAATATAAAAAAAAAAAGATCATCAACAACCCAGATTAAAAAAGATTTTATAACATAATTTAACTGTTTTATATTTAAATAGTAATGGAAAAAAAAAACAAGCAATGACACAATTTTGAATTTTATAATAAAATCTGATTCGAAAGTTTAGATTATATTATTAAAACAAACAATTTTTGAGAAGAATTATAATTTTTAGGTTAAAAAGAATATTTTATAATAAATAACATTGTATTTTTTCCCTATCCTGATGACGCCTGAATTGACAAAACGATCACTGGTTTTTTTCTTTGCCTGCATTTTGGAGATATAAGGCTGTTTGGCTTGTAATTCTTCCAATAAAAACCTAACATTTATGTTCTGTCTTTTGGTTAGTTTGTTACTAATTTATATATTATAATTTTTGTAACTATCTTAAATACTTAGCATTTAGAAAAGAGATATTGACAATTTTTTAAAATTCTAAATATGGAAATGGAAACAAATAGACTATCATTGGCTTTTTAACAATCATTAGTAATCGTCAATCGTAATGTAATAAGATTTTTTCTGAATAAAACTGTTAATTATTATCAAAGTCATTTTAATAAGAATCATTAAACCTATAAATTAAAATGAGAATGAATTTTGCTTACTTTCATCATCAATAATTGTCACTTCCATTATAGATATTCTCCCAAGCTCCACATTTTGGTTTTCATCCCTCAGCAAGCTAAGTCTCAAGAAAAATTCTTCATTGGGTTCCCATTTGTTGTCATTCACAATTTCGACTATAAGCTAGAAGAGTAGAAGAGAAATCATGACAGTGTAGAGTCCACATTTTTCATATAAAAAACAAATATAAATTTTAATTTTCGCAAATAATTTCAATATATTATTTTTTTTGTATTAATTTTTTTTTTATTCAGTATATATGACTCATAATTGTTTAATTGCATTTGATTTTTTTAATGATAAACAGTTAGGAACATCATTAATTTATTGATAAAAGGTTTTGACTTAAAGTTTGTTGGTCATCATCATTATGACTTAAAATAAATATTTTATTTTTTTTTATTCATTTATATCTCTCTTCATTACATAATATTAATTCCTTTTTTTTTGGCATATACTTATTTAATCATATTCTTTTCCATTCTAATTTTATAATAATAATGTTATTCTATTCCATCCTAATTTTAAACCAATGTAATAACAAATTTAAATTTTATTTATTGTAATTTCTAAGGTTTCTATAATTTATTCCACCATTAGTTGTATGTTTATTATTATTTATATTCCTACCACTTAATTTATCACATTTAATTTATTCTTATTATTTATCTTTATTACTTTTTTTAAAATTTACTTCTGTCATTTTACTGCACATTTATCAATATATTTGTATTTTTCATTTAGTTTTGCCTTGATGATGATCTGTAAGCTTGGATCAAAATGCTGGCAGCCACAATAAATTATTGATATTCCTTAGTATTTATCACTCATGATAACTTACATTGAGCCAATTATAATTCATTTCCAAGTTATTCGATATTTTAATCAGGATCGTATAGAAACTGTAATTGTTAGATATATGTAAAAAATATATTACATTCAAGTATTTAAAAATTACCTCAGATTTTAGGAAGAAATACACTGAGAAATCATTATGTAAGTGGGTAATATGGTTAAGACAACAAAAACATAAGCCATATTGTTTCTAGGCTCTTTTGTTTTTCTTGAATCAATTAGTTTAGAATTTAGGTTGAGGAGGGCGTTTGCATGTTTGATTAATAATTTATAAAAACGTTTTAGCTATTAAACAAAATTTTAAATAATTCTTTATGTTACAGTACTACCTTTTTTGAAATAAAATAATTATTTATTTAAAAATTAAGGCTTATCAATAATTTATGTTAATTTAATTTTTTTAAACTAAAGTAATCTCATGATTGGTGTTAAATATAAAATGGTTTTGTAGAGAAATAAAAAATATAGAAAAAAGTATGGATAAAGCTTATAAAGTATAATTTCACAAAAGTGTCGGTTAGGTCCTTGTTGCATATTTTGAATTAATTGTGGGGAAGAAAGTCCTCAAAGACCAAAAAAAGATGTTACTTCTCTTTAAGAATAATGATGTAATAATAAATTCTAAATTAACACTTGCAAACAATGGGTTTAATAATCTACTTAGATATTTTAATGATCAATATTTTAAAAAGATATTTACCTGTTGTTCACGTTGATTCTTTTCAAATGTAACTATCTCATTTATAGCTATATAATCTTCACCTTTCCTAGCAGTGCCATCAATTGTCATAACTCTATAATATAAACATTCAATTATTAGTGTCATTAGCATAATTTCATTTATTTATTTTTTAAATTTGGGTTATTGTAATTTATAACTGTCACGAATGGATTATTTGAAATATCAGAGGCTCATTCTCTTAATAGATGAGGAATGGATTAAGAAGCAAGACTATGGTCTGGTAGGTATGTATGGGTAAGCAGTGTTTTACAAAAAATAATTCTATATTTTGGGACAAATCTGCAACTTTAAAGTTATTAAATTAATTTTGTAATGTATAATGATTTAATTAAAATGAATGATCCAGCTAAAGATTTTGACTATTAACAGAATGGTAATCACAAAAGATTCATTAAAAAGAACTCTAAATTGCAAAAATAAAGAAGATATGTAACACTAACCTGACTTTAACTTGATTTTCAGTATTACCATGCCTCCAGATAGTTACTGCAAATTTACCAATATTTTCTTTTACAGCTATTGTGGCTGAATGAAATTCAATAACAGCATTCTTCTGCATATCTGGCGTTGGCCTTATCTCAGGGACTTCAGTTTTTTTCTCAGTTTTTATCACATTATATACCTATAAGCAACTTAAATTACTTGAAAGTAAATTTTTATGCTAAATTTATATCTTGTTTAATAATTTAAAAATATAAACTTCAAAATTTTAATCTTCATTGCTATAAAAAAAAATTGTTGCTCTGTTTTGATAATTAGCTTTCCAATGAATCAGATTTTTTATTTTTCTAGACAAAATCTTGGATTCTTAAAGGAAATAAATTCCTGAAAAGTAGTTTTCATCACATTTTTAGTAGTCAACATATTTACAGTAATTTTAATGAATGGTCCAAGGTTCTAAAAAGTGATACGAAAGTACAGAAGTACTGCGCTTATGCTTCATATGTTTTGCACAATTAATCAAGAAGAGTTGACCAATGGCTAATTTCAAAATTAAACATATTCACTAATAATTAGTTTATATCTAACTTATGAATTATAACTTTGTTACTTTATTCACCAATATTTTATTAATGTTACCCTCAAAACTGAAAAGAAATCAGACAGTATTATCATTTTTGTAAAAAATAAATGAGCTATTGAGTAATAATGAATATATATAGTAATTTTAAAAATACCTAAAATTTTCCCCAGTAAACTTATAGATTATTATTTTGTGATCAAAATGAGTGCTTTTATTCTTGTAGAATATGTTCAATACATATAGGTTATTCAATCATTTTTATCAGAATATGGAAAATAGTACTAGACTCACTTGTTGCAACCTTGCATCTAAAATAGGTTGGATTCTTCTTCCTGCTGAAATAGTCCTTACAGCTCCGATTCTGTACCACATCGCTGAGTGTGGTTGAGAATTAATAAGCCTTTAAAACATCAGAATATATTTTAAATAGTAACTTTAAAAGAAAATAACATATTGCTATGTTTAATCAATTTCAATTATTACTTGGCTGCTGCTAAAACTGCGGCATCTTCATCGGTCAATCCAGGGTACTTTTTAACTTCACGAACAAATTTAACCAAACTATCTTTGTCCAACTTTCCATCCTTAAAGAAGTTTCTTTCAGCCAATTCTTTTTCAGCTATTTTTAAATTTAAAAATTTATGTATTGAATTTAATATTGTGATGATGGTTAATAAACTTTCTTAAAAATTCAAATTTTCAACTTACTTTCATCCCCTCGAAGTGGACCAAGTTCCATTTGTTGCTTATTTTTACTCTTTGAAATGACTCCAAGCCCACACCATCCTTTGTCAGCAGCATAAGCAAAAATTGTAAGTATTGGAAATAGTAAGAATGTAACCACAGATTCCCAAAGCTCAACAACATCAACAGATATCACTTGTAGAATAAGGAAAAGCCATATATAAGCAAAAAAACTAAAAAGCCCTGTTACAACGAAAACCTAAAAATGGAGAATCAAATTGATATAATAAATTTTAAAACAAACTTCTAATGTAATGTCTCAAATCATACATAGTGGTTTCTTTTTTAAAGCAACATTTAGTAAATGAATTAATCAGATGTTTAAGACACAAGACTGTTATAACTATCGTTTAAGAGATATTTTGTTACTCATAATTTATTAAAATTAGATCCAGGTTGATGAGACAGACAAAGTAATCTCAACAATTTAGTATAAAATCTGTTTCAAAACTTGACATATCTACTGTTATTTAATTGGTGTATGGTAAACAGAATTAGCTTTATCCTATTTACTATAATCTTTCTCTTGTGCCTATTAAAGTAATTAATATCTCTTCATGTTATTGAAGGTAATTACTATAGGTGTTAAAAAAACTGGTAAGGGAAATAGAACTATGCAGTACTTAATTTTATATTTATTGAAAATGGCTCTGAATTAAACTGGATGAAGCCTGACAATCTATGGTGTCTAAAAAATATTTTGTTCTTTTGCATATTTATATTAATTGTCTTTAGGACCATGTCCGAAATATTATATAAATCTGTTATATTTGAATATTTGATGGAGTTTTTACTCTTAATTTAAATTTAATTTTCTACTTTTTTGAACCTCATTATAGTGAGGACATATATTTGCTTTCACACCTATCCCCTCCTACCCCTCCTCCTCCCCCAAAACGCGTTATAACGAGGATCTTTGTATCTGTAAATGGATTTAAAAAAAAAACAAATCCTTTTTATCTATTGACCATTTTCATTCGTCAAGAAATAAGCTTTTATAAATAATAAAAATAAATTTGCGTTTTCTCTTTATACCACATGCAAAAGGATAGTTATTACGAACACTTTCAGGTTAGGATAACTGCCTCTGATTATATTTTTATTTATCATAAGGATGAATAAATGGAGTTACGGTTGATGAAAAAACTAAAAACAATCTTTTACAATAGATGACAAGTATACCGAAGATACATACCTTGAGCCTGTGTATCCTCCTGGTATCACTGCCAGAGAGCGCCAGCATACAGACGGAGGTGATGACCAGAAGATTGAAGGCGGCTGAGCCGACAATGGTACCCGGACCCAGCGGTCCTGCCTGGAAGTTGTGGCCGACGGTTTCGATTATAGACAGCAAGATCTCTGGAGCGGATGTTCCCAGTGCCATCAGGGTTAGGTTGGCAACGGTGTCGTTCCATATCCGTACTTCGATCACTTCCGGTTCATCTTCTTGCAGGCCCGCAACCACACTTGTTACCATGTTATAGTTTCCATTGAGCTAAAATTTTAATAGTAATAATATAATAAAATAAAGATGTATTTAACACTGAACGTAAATTATTTATTAACTACATTTAAGCAAATGGCATAAAACCGTTAAAAAATCCATCTTAAATGACCATTGAACATGAATTTTTTAGATTGAATATTTAATACTTACCGTTGCATTATAAAGGAAGGAGGTGGTCCGGGATGGCGATCATAAAAAGGCTAAATAGTGGCAAAACCATTTTATTTTGTTTGTTATTTAGCCTATTTATGACCGCCACCCCGGACTATCTAATTCCTTCATGAATTTTTTAAAGATAAAATACCAACTATTTTTATAACTCATACCCAATGTTTTCTTTTCTTTAACAACATATATATATATATACTCAGTATACAAAAAAAAAAAAAAAAAAAAAAAAAAAAAAAAAAAAAAAAAAAAAGAACTGCAGACCATTTACATTTTTTACCACATCCAACCACCAACTACCATACCGGACTAATTTAGTGTCTGTGACGCCGTCAGTTTTCAAAACGCAAACGAGTACATCGCCAGCCAAGGTGTGTTATCTTTTAAGGACACATTATTTACATCATATCAAAATTTCAGCCGTCAGTTCCTCCGTTAATTGAAACGTTAAATTTCGCCAATTTAAATTTTCATATAGAAAGAAAAGATTTTCAACCGAATGACAGAAGTTATGCGTTCATATGAAGTCTATCTAAAATGGTTATTCGCTGTTTAAGTCTATTAGTTGAATTGAATGGTCGGTAGCACCTAGTCTGTAGAAATAGAAATAGAAAATAACATTATTCTGGGACAAAGTCCCTTTAGAATAACAAAGTAGAACATAATTAAAATACTACATCTGGCCAAAATAAAACTGTATATCTGTGGTCGCGTATGAGCATAAAATAAATTAAAATCTTAGAAATTTGCATTAAAAATTTGCATTGTTGTAGACTCATAGTACTACTTTCTCTATGATTTTAAAGTACAAGAAAATGCACGCGAGATGAAATATTTATGCAGAAAACTAGCAAAGAAAGAAAAAACTATAATCCATAGCACCAAACCGAATTCCCACAATAAGTTAATGTTATTATAAATAAAATTGATTTTGTTGGACTATGAACTTCACTGGTTTTTAGTTTTTGTTAAGGATAAATTTATAAATCAATATACTTTCAATCCTGTCCTTGTTTGTTATAGAGTACTTACGATATTCGGAAGACCTTAACACCAAGCCTTGAAATGAAATTTCAACTTTTATTTTTAACGTTTCGGTATTATTGGAATCTTGATTTTCAATGTTTTTCTAGGAACCAGAACTTCTTCCTTTGCGATTTTTAGAGTATAAATTTTACAGAACCTTTATTTTTTGTAAGAGTTCTATTTATATGCTCTGTTGATTTTGATTAAACGTCGATCTGAAAAATGGCTTTTATTCTAAGCTACTGAAACGAATGACATATTAGAATCAGGTATTTCAGTTAAGATAAATTATAAGTCAAATTTTGCCACAATTACTGACGTATTTTATTTCTAATGTAACATTTTCCAAGAACTTAAATAAATAAAAATTAAACTTTTAGTATAAAACTGGAACATTATTTACAAAGAAGTTCCTTAAAAATTTTTATTTTAAAAAGTATTTTCCTAAAAAGTTTCAAAGAAACTTTTAAAATGGACCTTTTTGAAGAATTTCCATAAAAGGTCCAACACCTGCTCAATATAAAAATATTGTTTAGAATCTGATGGGGTTAATTAAAATTGTCCTTTATAAAGAAGTGTCCGCTATGAGAAGTATTCCATCCTTCCAATGATCGATACAGATCGACGCCTATAGTAAGTTTTACAAATATCATACAATCTTATTAAAAAAGGAAATATGTATTAAAGAATTTCAAGAATTTTTGACCGCCCACCAAATTTTCCATGTTCCATAGTTTTAAATATAGAATAATATTTTAAGTGGAAAAGAAATATTTTGGTTCTTAATCCCTGATTATTTTAGTGTAAAGGAATTGAAAAATGATCTATTTTCGGCCACCTCGTCATTAGTGGAACGATCCCCTTTCACCTTCAGACCTGACCCCACCAGTCGAATACCTCTACCTGTAGCGCTAACAGATTACTGAGAACGGAAGGGTCCTGGGATTGAGCTGTCGAGTTCCTTCCAGCCTCCTTGATCGGGTATCAACGGCTGCCAATATCCCGTTCCCTGCCCGACGGTCCCAATACATTATATCGCGCATATCCGATCTGGCTCATAAACATAATGACTTTGACATTTGGTTCAAGGGACAGCATCCGCGACCCAAGGCGAGTGAGAAAGTAACTGATCACTGCGGCCTTTGTTTCAAGTACGTGATAACAGCTGAGTTATAGGCAGATTAATACCACCCGTTCAGAAATATATATCGTAACGCAACTTATCCTTGTATTTATTCAACAAACAATAAGGTATCGAATATTTGGCAATCGTTAGACAATTCAACCAACGCGTTTTAATACACCTAGAGTCACAAGAGGATCCACGGGTGAGAGGCTTCCGGGCTGTAGCTTTTTAAATTATAACGCATGCATGTCAGCTACTATAAATAAGCACGCGTCAAGAAATAAATTATTTAAAAAATCCGAAATTTTCTTGTAAACACAGTTTTTTAAAATTTAATATATATTTTTTTAATAAGCCTTAAACACTATTTTATATAGTTTTTCTCAGAGTAATTACTTTTAGGAAAAAATTACTTCCTGGAGTCGAAAATATCGTTTAAAAAAACACCCACCTTTAAAACCATCGACAGTATCGACAGCACTATCGTCTTTAACTCATTTCTGGATCTGAACTGGTTACAAGCTGATTCTCAAACCGTTCTATGGTTAACCCAGTCTACTTCCATCGGGAGCCCTCGGCTCCGAGATGAACAAATGCTGCTGTGAGTTCTGAGTACCAAGTATTTTACTCAAATATTGACCCTTTTAGAATAACAAACAATTTAATCACAACTTCATTTGAAATTATTTCTAAAGCTCTTCGGTGGGGCTCCTAGCATATTCCGAAATAACAAAAATATCTTACGAGCCCTCCCAAAGGTCTCTAAACATACTCTGGATATAAAAACAACAATTATTTTTAGGACTAAACATACCACCAAACCACATAAATACAAAACAACAATCTTCGGGGCCCTCGCTCCTATCTATTATTCCAATCATTGGGGACCCAAAAATGCTTTGGATAATCCGTCCCCCATGCAGTCGGACAAAAGAGATATTCTCCCCTCCCACTAGGACGGCGTTTCGTTCGGAGATTGGTGAATAACTTTTCTCTCCAATAACAATAAGACCTTTCACATTGTCTGCGCGTATCAGCAATGAAACCTGTTAGATTACTACAAAGAAAGAGGTGATGTCATCTAGTTTGGAACCTGTGATGTAATCAATGACGATGACTCGTGCATCTATTCCTGACGTCAGTTGGTCATCTTTCTTTCAGTGTGTCCCTGATATAATGTATCATTTTTTTTAGTAATAAAAAAAGCTATAAAAAAAGTATATTACTATAATTTTAAGATTTACTAAGCATTTTATTTATGCTGAGTACTTTTCGTACTAATACCTTTAATCAGATATTTTCTTTAAGGCAATAAAAAGATAAAAAATAAGTATTTAAAAACAAACGAAATAGATATAATAATAATGATTATTGACTAATGATGAATAAAATCAGAGGGCGTTAACACTAAATTAATATTATAAATATCTTCTTTGCTAAGATCTTTTGGTTTCTACCGCCTTGGCCCTTCGAGATGATCTGGTGATAAAAATCATTTTTACTCTTCGGAAACTCTCGTTGCCCTAGGTATTTTATTTATGTTAAAATTATTTTCGAGCGAAATTACAAATTTAAATATACATATATATACAATAACATGTCTTCCATTTCTAAAAAAGAGCTAATTTTGATTATGTGTTTTGTCATTAGTTTTATTTTAACAAGAAAACATATAAATTAATTATTTTTTTCCCCTGAACTTCAAACCTGAAAATTTTTTTTTCTTTTGAGTTAAATCAAGGGAGTGTATGTTAGTGAGACCTTCTATTTGCACCCTGTATCAAAATATAACAGTTTATTTTTAATAACAGTTATAACGATATCACCTTTAAAATCTATTCCATCTTCATCAACAATATTTGAAAATTTTAGTTTTTGTTTATTGATTGTTGCTTGTTTTTGTATGTTATTTACATACTCTATTTAAATAGTTTATAGTACAATATGTATCTTATCTATCATGTATATAGTTTTTATATCCGAATAAGAATATTTGTTGAAGAGAAGAATAGTTGGGGTGGTCAGTCAAAAAGGAAGGCAAAAATAAATTATAATATTTATTTTTACATATGCCGACGTTTCGACCTGAAGTTCAGGCCTTCATCAGGGCTAAGAAAATAACCAGATAACAAGGTATGAGAAATATAAGTAGTGATGGTAAAAAAAAAATAAAAAAATACTCCATTCTCAATGTCTTAATTTTACTATTTATTTTCATTTCTTATATTACTGTATATTTCTTTTTTACGTTTTACATTTTATTCTAAGATTCCCATTGTAACACTTATGTCACCCTTTTTGATTACGCCTACTTCATCATTCCACACTTTGTAACGGTTATTATTTATCTCTTAGTTCTTAGTCATTATTCTAACAATTTCATTTTACTTTATATTTATTTATTTTATTTTTTTAATTTTTTTTATCATCACTACTTATGCTTTTCATACCTTGTTATCTGGTTATTTTCTTAGCCCTGATGAAGGACTGAACTTCAGGTCAAAACGTCGGCATATGTAAAAATAAATATTATCATTTATTTTTGCCTTCCTTTTTGACTGACCACCCCAACTATTCTTCTCTTCATTATCCGCGACAGTCAACCAATTACCAATTAAGAATATTTGTTGTTTGATTCTATTCTATTCATACCTCCACTAACGATTTT